AATCTAGGAGCATTGCTCGGCCCTCCACAAGGAGGCTTTCGTCTCCTGCCTCCCGGATCTACCTGTTGATGGCTCCGCCATCAGTACAGTCCTCCAGCACCTTCACCAGAGAGCCGGTGTCGAAGCAAAACTAAGTTGCCATCCCACGGTCCTTTTTGGCGGCTATCCACCTCCGATTGCGGCCTCTGAACAACTCCCGAGGATCACTTGCTGTACTCAACTACGCAGTAGCTACTCAATGCTCCTTAGCCAGTAACAACACCGGCTCGGCCCGTCCAAATCCGACAGCTGTCGCGATTGCGGCGGCTCTGGGCATGACTGTCAGCATCTTTTCGCCTGCCGTTCCCAGTCAGGCACCCAAGTCACACCCGTGGACCTTTGGTTCAAGCCAGTTGAGGTCCCGGCTTTTGCCCGTCTTCCAACTACAACCAGTTCCGACTCCAGCGGAGATTCTTGATCCAACAAGGGTTACGACACACAAACGCACACTACACGCTCTCCACGTTATCAGCATACACAATTTTACTGACTGAATGCAAGCGACAGAGGACATGCTGCGAGTAGCAGCCGTTTTGTTAAGCCCCTTCACACATTAAACGCTGTCCAACCGTATCAGTCTTCCCTGACTTCTGATTTGGGAAACCTTCTGCTGTTGCCAACTTCGCCACCAGGCGTGTCCACAAAAGGAGAACACAGAATACACTAGCAAAACCAAGTACGTTAGAGACAATAAGGAAAACTGGTGTCACAGTCAGGGTTTACAGCAACACACGAAAAGGAAAACAAATGTAGATAAAGCCTGCACCCGAAAAGAAAGAAAGCACCAAAACGGCTAGAAGAAGAAAGTTGGAATGTGTGTGTGGAGGTCATTGATCACAGACTAAAGACAAGTACCGCTACACGGCGTATAGCGGTCACACGATATGACATGGAGGAGTTAGAAAAGTTAAATGGTACAGAAGGGGAGTGTTGTTTAAGCATCCAGTACGTGGCCGGCCTTTTTACTCTGTTGGTCTGGGTTGCCCATGGGAGTCAGGTCCGCAAAGAACTTCATCCACTCGTCCAAATTACCCTACAGGTGAGGAGAAACAAAGAACGAGTTTGTTAGCGATCATGAACGTGGAGCACAGAAAGAGACAGGGTAAGGGGCGAGACCTACCGATTGGGGTTTATTGGGTTGTTTTTTGCTGGTCGGACGCTTCGGTTGTTGTTGACTTAAGGCGGAAGCATTCGCAGGCGAACTGTTGGCTGACTGCGCGGCGGCTGGAGACTGCCCCATTCCATCAAAACCTCCCTTTGGCTGAAGGATAGAGGAAGAAGACGGCGGGTTAACTGACAGTCACTGTCAGCATAAAAACTTGCGACGTTGAACAATTGCACTAGAGTCTGAATGAGGTCTTGCCAGCTATAAAATTTGCTCACTAAGAGGCAACAGGAGATACCCTCACATTCCTAGAAATGAGAATACAGGGACGCCCTAATTGCGGAAACGCAACAAGCGTTCACCGAAAGGACTTCACTGCTGAAATCATCCCTAACTGTGGGAGTAACCAACCTGCGGCCTGAGGTGATCCCCATGCTTAACACAAACAGGCACAAGAGTTCTTCAAAGCTTGGCACTCCAACCCGACCAACATTAACCGACACTTCGACCTGGGTGCACGTTACGAAGACCTGCGTGCACTGCTAACTGACGCGCACCCACAGCAATCGCTTATTAATACTCGGCCGGGTGGAAATTCACTGGTGCGGCGTCCCCCGTCCCCGACACGTGAACCACTATCTGACTTTCAATGCCCCTCCTCTCACCCTCAACACTAGCTGTGACACATTTATCCTCTCCCCTGCCATGAACGTCTGTTTGCCTGTCACCCCCCACCAAACGCTCTTGTGCGACAATTCCACACCCCAATTTTTATTTCTTGTCATGAAGAGCCGGTCTTACCCGGCTTGAAAATTCACGAATATAACTCAATTTTCGGAAGACCTTCCTTCGTTTCATTTGATGTGCTACTTATGCTACATCAGTATTGATGCCAAAATAGTCTGGTGGAAAAGAAGACAAAGCGGGTTTCTGTAAAAAAAAACACTTCAGTCTAGGCCTGTCGGAACAGCGGATCTCTTAGCTCGCCAACTCTCGCTTATTCGTTGGAGTTCTGGCCGTTCTGGAACATTCCGTGCAATGGCGCACCACGAGCCTTCTGAAAAATGCTGGCTTACAACAAGCCACATGCTGATTAGGTGTGTCGCACGGTGTAAACCGCCCTCCTTCCCGCCCGCAGAAGCTTCTCGAATAGTTGGGCCGCATGTGTGAGTACTAGTCGATACAGCGGCGCACACTGATTGGTTGTCCGGTTGCCCGCATGTATCTATCAGCTAGCTTGGCCTGTTGCAGCGCTCAACGTCACGTGTTAGCTTTGCCTTTGGCCGCGACTTTCGTCTCCGTAACAATCAGTAAAACTATTGCGATTATTTTCTTCAAATAAGACGAGCAGAAAGTGCGTATGCACCCAATCCTGCTACTCTGTCTACGGTAATTTAGCATGAGGAGGCAATTACTGCAGTTGCATTGGTAATAAGTTTGCCGCAGAAAATCTGAATACAAATGACAAAAAAAAACAGTTAAAATTAGACATCAAGCCAGTAATTTTGCTCGTTGGCAAAGGTTAGTTTATAGGGCAGGACATTCGAACTAGCCATGACACACCTGGCACAAAAGTTGCGGTTCTCCGAAACCGCTTGCTAAAAATGTCAACAACACTTTGATCCGATTATAAAAATATGGCGCCATCGTTCCAGAGGAGCGATTACAGGAGCGTGCTTTTGTAATTTTCCAAAGACACACAAGGCAGGTGTCTTAATTCACCTTGAAGGAAGGTCTATCGCAGTGGATTAAGTTAAAACGGGAGATCCTGGCTGCTCCGAGCTTCAGGCCCGGTTCCGTGTGCGATGAGAAGAGGTGAGACGCTAGGAATAGGAATAGGGAATAGATTGGGAATAGATTGGATAAGGTTAACAATCGGACGAGCGTGCGTCTGCACCCCAGAAGGGCGGCATTCTGAGCGTGAGATAGCCTTGAAATTGACTAGGCAGACCGGACTGAGCTAGGCCTATTTGTGCGCACATGCTAGCAGCCGCGAGAGGCAAGCGTTGACTGGCGTTATAGTCAGTCCCCCCCCACTGTAACCCAACACCTACGCAGGTCACTGCTGCTTCTTCTGATTTAATCGATTCAGGTACAGCTGTTTTTCGTCTCACTGCTGATGGATGACAGACGTGCAAAAGTCAGCCCTTCGCCTTCCTCTCTATTGTGAGTCTCCTCTGTCTGAGGGTAAGTGAGTCTATTTATCCCCTGCATGCGACCGATCTGTCTCACTTTGAGCGTTCGGGCGATGAGCATGGAGGAGGAGGAGGAGGAAGAAGAAGAGGTGGGACATTTCAGTTTGGGAGGCGTTAGTTG